TCGGAGGGGGCTCTGCGGCCGAGAGCCTGCTTAACCTGCCGAGGACCCAGGAGACCATCGGAAGAGAAGCCTGGTGGTTGCTTGATCCGCAGGAGAGAAAACGCCCGGCGGAGTGAACATGGAAGCCGTCATAAAGGTGATTTCGTCCGCGTGTAAGACATACTGCGGGAAAACCCCTATGGGGAAAACCTCTCCTTCTGAGAAGGAAATAGGGGCAATGTTGTCCCTTTTACAGAAGGAGGGACTGCTTACATCTCCCTCAGATCTGTATACCCCGGGGTCCTGGGATTCTATCACCGCAGCGCTTTCCCAGCGGGCGATGGTACTCGGGAAGTCAGGGGAGTTGAAAACCTGGGGACTGGTCTTGGGGGCGTTGAAGGCAGCTCGAGAGGAGCAGGTTACATCTGAACAAGCGAAGTTTTGGCTGGGCTTGGGGGGAGGGAAGGTCTCTCCCACAGATCTCACAGGGAAGCCAGCCGCGGAGCCTCAGGTCGGCGGAGAGATAAAGATAACGGCTGCGCAGCAAGAAGCGAAGATGGCGCCGGGGGAGGCGACCGCGTCTAAAACCACATCCTGTTATCGTTGCAGAACGGGTACTGGCTGCAGTTGCGCCACAGCTGCCCCCTCGGCCCCTCCTCCTTATGGGGGGAGTGGCTTGTATCCTTCACTGGAGGGGTTGGGAGGGCCAGAGGGGGAGGGTGTAGCCACGTCACTGGCGGGGCGGGATGGTCCGCCCCGAGGGGTGGAGCAAAGGGCGGAGCCAGGATGCCCTGACTCAGCCCCTGGGCCAGCTTTGACTGATTGGGTGAGGATTAGGGAGGAGCTCACAACGGCGGCTCCGTCCGTGGTGGCTATGCCCGTGGTGGTAAAAACAGAGGGATCGGCTTGGACTCCTCTGGAGCCAAAACTGATTACGCGATTAGCCGACACAGTCAGGACCAAAGGCTTGCGATCCCCAATCACTATGGCAGAAGTGGAAGCTCTTATGTCTTCCTCGCTGCTGCCGCATGACGTCACGAATCTTATGAGGGTCATACTAGCCCCCGCCCAATATGCCCTGTGGTCGGACGCTTGGGACGTCCAGCTACAGACGGTTATAGCGGCGGCTACCCGAGACCCTCGACACCCTGCGAATGGTCAGGGAAGAGGGGAACGAACCAATTTAGATCGTTTAAAGGGCCTAGCGGATGGAATGGCCGGAAACCCAGAGGGCCAGGCTGCGCTTTTGAGACCGGGGGAGTTGGTTGCTATCACGGCGTCGGCTCTCCAAGCGTTCAGAGAGGTTGCCCGGTTAGCGGAACCTACTGACCCTTGGGCGGACATCACACAGGGACCATCGGAGTCCTTTGTGGATTTTGCCAATCGCCTCATAAAAGCGATTGAGGGGTCGGACCTTCCATCTTCGGCACGAGCCCCCGTGATTATTGACTGCTTTAGACAGAAGTCACACTCGGATGTCCAACAGCTTATACGAGCGGCACCCTCCACTTTAACGACAC